ATGGCCTCATGGGGAGTGAACCCCCCCCCCCCCCCCCAGGTCAATGGTTTAAGGATTAGGGCAGGCAGGATTATGAGTCCCCCCCCCCCCCCCCCCTCGGTGTTTGCCATCGGGATTGGGTTTTCGTCGCTTGGCAACGACGTTGTAAAACAAGCTAGTTCACTTCGTGAACTCGGCAACCAGGCTACCGTTTTTTTTTTTTTACCTCGGTTTTTTTTTTGGCGGTAACCATAATGGTGGTCAAGTAGATCATGTTGTGGGGGGGGGGAGAACCCTCACTCCGCGCAACGGGGGATGTTCCCACCCGTTGTGTTAAAATGATCAAGCTTCCTCGAGGCAGTTACACAGTGCTTACAACTGTCTCTGGAAGTGAAAGCCCCAGAAAATAAATTAATTCATAGGTAGCTGTCATCCGTACGCAAGGAAGTAAGCACAAGATGCCGAACACCCTTAGCAGGATGCAGCTCCCCCTTCTTGGGACTCCCCAAATCCCTCAGGGCGTTTCGCGTTTGGTGATGTGAGACCCTGTTCCGGGGAAACCCCGGGGTGTTCCTTCCCGGTTTTGTGGGGATGGGAAGTCAATGTTTTAAGGATTCCGGCATCCAGGATTAGGAGTCCCCCCCCCCCCCCCCCCCCGGACCCACACCTAGACACTAGGATTAAGAGGTGTATTCTCTTGAATGTGATTGTACCTAAGCTAGAGTATGCAGGAGAGGTATGGGAAGGTAACGAAAAGGCCGTCAAGCAGCTGGAAACGGTGCAGATGGCAGCGGCCAAGAAAATATTAGGATGTTCAAGTACAACGAGCAACACTGTATTGAGAGCAGAATTGGGAATGTACTCTCTTAAAACAAAGAGAGACATGCAGAAGTTGAATTGGCAGTACAAGGTAAGTAGAATGTCGGACGATAGACTACCAGCCATGGTTGACGAGGCAGCTTGGGGAAAAGCGACTCCAGGAAAGAAGGGAATCAGATGGGACAAGGTGGTAGAGAAGGTTTGGAAGGAGATAGGAGACGAGGAGGAGACGTTGGACACGGAAGGGTTAGGGGGGTTCAAGACGAAAGTCAAGGAGATGCTAGAAAGTAGGGAGGAGGCAACCCTTCGGAAGAAGGTACGAAGCGAAGACCACTTGGAGATATACGGGAAGTTGAAAGAAGGGATAGGGATGAAGACGTACTTGGACGGCCCCATGGACTACGCGAAAAAGCTGAAATTGCAATTTCGAGTAGGCGATCTGGACTTGCCAGAACGGAGGAAGAGGTATACCAGCCGTAGGAGAGAGGAAGAGGAGGATAGACACACATGTCCATGTGGCAAATCGGAGGAGAGTAGACCCCACATAGTTGGGGAGTGTGAGTTGTACAAGAAGGAAAGAGAGGATCTCGAGGAGGAAATGAGACAGAGAGGGTGTGACATGGACAAGTTTGGTAAATTAGACAATAGCGAAAAAACGATCCCGATAATTGGGGATAGATGGTGGGCACAAGAGGCCCTAGAGGACGGGGATAAGATGTGCAAGAAATTTTTATGGAGTTTGTGGCAGAAACGTAAAGAGCTCCCAAATGTTGGTGGTGTCTCGAGTAGGTGTAGGAACGGTGCTCCGTCTCGAAAGGGACGCGTGGTCAATGGTCAAATGACTACGGCAAGCAACAAATGAGTACGCCCTCCCCCCCCACCCCTCCCCGTGATCAAACCTTCACCCAGGACTTCTTGGAAGATGACCCTAGCCTTGCCAACGCCGCCGACGTCACGGAGTTCGGCACGGGATACCGCCCGCTGCACTACGCCGCCTACGGCGGGTTTCTCGGCGTTTGCGAGGCGTTGCACGCCGCGGGGGCGCGGCCCCTGGCCGCCGGCGACAACGGAGTGACCGCCCTGTTCCTCGCCGCGCAGGCGGGCAAGGCCGACGTCGTGCGGTTCTTGCTTGGCCTGGTGAATGAGACTATCATACAAATCTTAAGCGTTGGTTCTCTGTATTTACGAGATTTGTTTTTCGTGATCTCCGTCTGTTTTCGGTGCGCGTGTCCCCGCACGCACCCGTGCCCCCGATCGCGCGAAACGTGTCGTTGCCTCGCGGACACAGGCCCATATCAAAACAGACTTTTTAGTGGGCCCTGCGCGTCACGGTTGTTTCGTGGAGCAGAGCGAAGACTTGAAGAGGTAGCTTCCAGGACGGAAGAAGCCCTAGGAGGTCCTACCCGACAACTAACTTTGCTTCAAGCGGCTGCAGTGCTTTCGGTACGGTGGTACGATCTGCTTCCCTCATGAACACCCTTCTACGTTTTCGCCCTCCGTCCTGGCCCCCTCCCGCACCCCGCTCCCTCCTCCGTGTCCTCCCTTCCTCCCTCCCTCCTTCCCTCCCTCCCTCCCGACGTGGCGCCGACGAAAAACAGGGTGCGGACCCGACCGCACGGGAGCGGGAGAGCGGACTCTGCGCCATGGACGTGGCGAGCGAGTCTGACCCCGAGGTCTTCCGGCAGATGCAGGAGAAGGGCGGCTTCGAGGTGCCCCCGGCGCCCGAGGTCCCGCCGACGGTGACCCGGGTAGAGCCAACGTCGCTGCAGGTACCTACCATGCGTTTTTTTTTTGCGGAAGGAGGGATATGTTTGTGGGTACACGTTCGCTTTCAAGCGTAGCGCCGCAGCTGGGTGATAGATCGGACCACCTCGAGATTTACGCGGCGGCCCCACAGCAAATTTGGTCGATCACAATCATGTTCTCCTGAATTATTTGCTTGCAGGAGGGCAGAGTCCGTACAACTCCCGGAACCAGAAGCATTGTTGTAGATCAACGAAACATGTTCAGAGTGTTGGCGGTACACAGAGCGCCACGATCAACCGCGAGCGCTCGAGATCATCCCCTCTACCTGCTCTTGCAAACGTTCTTCCCACCGTCGACCAATCGATCCAAGGTGGCATACCTACCGTTCCCCGAGGCTAGCGGCCAACTCCCGGTAACTCGCTACAAGGTCAAGGTCGAGCACCCCGGCGAAAGCTCGAACCAGGCGGCCCAAGCACCAGACATCGCCGAGGCTGCTAACACCAACAACGTAAACAACACCACTAGCACCAGCAACATCCCGCTCGACGTAGACGGGGTAGAGGGGGCAGAAAACGCGCGCGCGCCCCCCGCAGCCGACCCAGACGCCGGCGGGGACGACAGCAGCTTCGCGAACCCGACGCTGTCGAAGGTGGTGCTGGTCCCCTCGGCGGGAGAAACAAACTCTGCGAGCGAGGGGGGGAGGCAGAAACGAACGCTCGTGGCAGTCAGAGGCTTGAGGCCGGCAACGCGCTACAGGGTGAAGGTCTGTCTGCCTGCCTGCCCCTGTCCCTCTGGTGTGGTTACTGGGTGAAAGGTCGAGCGAGGGGGGCGCTTCCATCTGTTGCCCTCTTTTTCGTGGCTGGGCCGTGCGGGCCGTGCAGCGGTACAGGCTGACCAGGCGATACATGTAAACGACGTCTCTCTCTCGAGAGGAGTGCACATGGGCAAGGGTTAGTGTTTCCCAATAGCGCACAAAAAAACGTCAGAGCCAAAGGGCTTGCAAGACTTTCTGGACGACTGCGGAGTGTTCCTGTTGCCGGTGTTTGAGTTCCCCGTTACACGCGAAAGTGTAAACATGGTAGAAATATCTTTCTGACTAGGTCACCGACATTTTCGGCGCATCGTTGAAGCGCAAGTTTTTTCGAGAGACTGACACTTCCGTGTGTAAGCATTGCGGTTGTCGTCTTCACCAACGATACCTGTGGGCTGCAACGATGCACGCTACTAGACGGCAATTTTTATGATACAGCTTTCAACAGATGAGAACATCATCTCCGAAGCAATTCTCGTCGTCATCTTCTTGCTTTCGTCACACACACACACCCTCGCAGGTTGCAGCGATTAACGCCCTCGGATTCGGACCGTACGGCCCACCGTCAGACGCGGTCGTGTTGCCCGAGAAGATAGAAGGGGAGGGTGAGTCAGAGCCGTCGCCAAAACGAAGTAATGTCGGCGACAGGGGGGAGGGGGTGGTATCCGGAGTGCCGACACGCTTCTTTTGGTTTGCCTCGAATCGCTCAAACAGTAGCCCTTTCCTGATCAGCCGCGTCTTCGGCATTCGCGTGTTGTCCTGATCTGTGACAACTGCCATCGAGAAAGACATTCAGAACTATTCTCGTTGTGGAAACAAAGATTGAAAGCCGAGGTTTTCACGCACAACACAACATCTACACATAGTATGCAATCCGCAGCGGGGGTACGGTCGGTCTCGAAATATGCAGTCTGCAGCGGGGGCACGGTCGGCGCTAGAGCGGGGGAAATGCGTTGTCAAGCTAACACCTAAGCGGACGCCTCCATGCGCTGAACCAGGCGAAGGTGAAGGCAGCGGCACGACCAGAGAGAATGGGTCTTCGGTGGGAGCGGAAAGGGCCAAGAAGGGCAAGGGGAGGCAGGTGCTCGCGAGGGAGAAGCGGCGGAGCATGGCGGCGCAGGCCGTGCGTCTTCAGGAGCAGCAGCTGCTGGAGGCGAAGGTAACAGGAACGAAGATTATGCGCATGCTTCACCCGGTGCTCCCGGGTAGTCGGCCTATGAAGATTTTTTCGCACAGTGCCGCAAGTGCGAGTGACCGCACCCTGCAGAGAATGCGCATTGTATCGCGGAAGGTGGGATCGTGATTTAGGCTGCCGGCGACGCCGAAGCGGATGACCTGCGCAAACAATCTCCGAATAGTCTCTTATTGCCACCGCTGAGGTGCACGTAAGACAGCGGTATAGCGTGCGGTCGGTAGTGCAACAGCGCTGGGTTAGGTAGAAAAAACAACCGATCCGGTTCGGGAACGTTTTGTCCATTTTCTTAAGACACAGCTGCCACCGACCAACCGACTGTAATTTTGGCGCTTGCAGGAGAGACAACAGCAGCGCCGACGAGCACAAAGTCAAGGGCAGCCGCAGGGGAGCAGCACGGCCAAGGTCTCCGGCCGGCAACGGCTTGCTGCCACGGTGGGAGGTGACTACTGCGGTCGCCACAACGGCGGCGTAGGCGCCGGGGGCGATGGCCGCGAACCCCTCCTCACGGAAAGTTCCGATGTCCCCCACCATCACCGCTCCCGCTCCCAGCCAAAGCACGGCGGCGCGGGACTCGCCGCGCGAGCGGCGAAAACGACGCCTACGCCGGCGCAACGAGCGGCGGAACCACCACCACCAACGGCGACAGCAGCAGCAACGGCGGTGCCGGCTGTCAAAGCCGGCCACCGAGGATCGGCGGCCGGCGGGCTTCGCCGGCAAGCTGACGAGAGGTCCCGACGAGGACGGGGGGAAAGACCCGTCACAACAACAACAACAACTGGAGCTGCTGCTGCTGCTGCCAAGCAACGGGATCGAGATGACGGCAACGACGGCCCCCCGGGACGCAGAAGGCTGATCGCCACGGCGCCCCCCCTTGTGGCGGAAACGACGGAGCCCCCCCGGTACCTGGCGGCGACCTCTGCGGGCAGGATGTCCGCCCGGGCCTACCGCCAGCGGACCGGCGGCGGCGGCGGGGGCGGCGACGGTACCGCCGAGGAGAGGCATCGGGGGTGTATCACGGGCAGCAACGCCAGAGAGAATCGGCCGTTGCGAGGATCGCCGTCTCCTCGTGTCGATGACAAGAAGGTGTCCGGTGGGTCAAGTTCGAAGAGGTTCGGCGGCGGCGCCGGCAGCGGCGCCGGTGAGGGGGCGGGATCGGGGCGGGGGGCGGCGGGGCGGCGACAGCGGCGGCAGCCGGCGGCGGGAGGAGGAGGCCGGGGCGGGTGTTCGTCGTCGGACGTGTCGATATCTTCGTGCGGTGACATGACTATCTCAAGCGAGGAGCAGGAGGACGAAGAGATGGCGTACACCGGCTAATATATGGCTTCTGTTTTATTTTCAGAAACGTCTCTTTTGGACGGGAGCGGGGGGGTATTAACTGACCCGACGAGTAGAGTGAGAGTCGCAATTTCGTTGACTATACATGGTCGTTGTTGATGTTGTTGTTGATGTGGTTGTTGTTGTTTTCTTCACAGAACCGTTCGTCCTAGTACTCCCTCTTCCCACGATTTTTTGTAGGCACAGGAGTTATTGTCAGCGGTCACAACGTAAGTGCACCGCAAAACGAAGCAAAATTAATTACAACGAGGGCTCAGCCCAAGTCACAACAAAATTGCAGACAAAGAAACCCCCTGAACCACTAACAGAAACATCAGTCCAAAAACAATACAAGGCAGAGCCCCCGTTGCCCACTCCCTCACTCGGAACATTGCTCACCAACACAATCAAGGTAGTACAGGAGTTCAGCTGCTCCTGGAGGAACAATAAGAGGAGTTGTTCTCCCACACCTTTAAGGATCGCAAGCAGCCCGGGAGTACTTGAGATTGTTCATTTCGCCGACCGGACCAAATCCACTCCACACACCCTGCTGCAGGGAAACCGAACCCCGACTCTAACCTAACCTTGAGTAGGAATGAATGAGAATAAAGAGGGCTTCTTATGGCTACTGGTACGTCGTGAAGCTAAACACTCGAAGAGATGAGGGAAGGGGGGGGTTCGAACAAGTGGAGGATCCCCACGCCGATAGTTGGTGGCGGCCCTCTCACGCCCTACGGCTTGGCACGCACGAGGTCTTGTTGCTGCGACTGCTGCCGTTTCAACAAAGCCGATCCCGTCTGACCGCTGTTCTTCGTACTGCGTTGTTGTGTGGTGGAGCGTTTCTTACCACCACGGCGGAAGGTCAACGACGGTATGACGTCCGAGGCTAGCCACTCAGTTCTTCGTGGAAAACCCTGACACTCAACACGTGTAGTAGATGAAGCAGGCAGCAGCAGTAGCAGCAGCAACAACCAGGACGACCGCCATCAACGTGTGGGCAAGGCAGGCAGCAGAAGTGGCAGCAGCCAACGGCCTAGACGACCGCCACTGGCCGTGTTTCACTTTAGGTAAATATACGCCGCTCGAAGCTGCAAGCCGCCGTAGCCCTGTGAGATTGCTGTTTTGCTGTTGGCCGTTGACTACCAAGCTCATCGGAAAAGTTCAGCGACAAGCGGCGTAGGGCAGCCAAGAATACGCTGCTCATGGCCGCATACCCCTTTAGCGGGGATCTCCAATTGTAATACGACAAGAGAGACTAGACCCCGACAAGAGTTTCTTTACGGGCACGGTACCCTTCGTGCCTGTGCCGACGGCGAGAAAAAAGAAAAAAGAGGATATTTTACCGCCCACCGTTGTGTCCAGAGAAAGCAACGAGGGCACGCTGTTGCGGTTTGCTTGTTAAGCGTTATCCTTAGCCAATCTTCTGCTTCTTTAAATTCTTTCACGCAGCGAGCGGCGGTGCGCCCTAAAACTGTCTCTGGAATATTTACTGGGAGTCACCGCCCAAAAGAACTCTCAGAAATCGATTCGAGGGAACACTAGAGGGATCTTCGGCCCTTTCGCCTCTTGTCGAGAGAATAAAAACGGGAAAACAACAACCTTTGGCATCCGTCCCACAACACGCAGGCTACATCCAATCGAAGGTGGTGCCACACAAAAACTAGAATCCGCTGACGCTATGGATTCATTGTGTCATACTAAGAAAATATATATAAAAAAAAAACTTCGATGTGTGATTTTTTTTTGCCAATAATTGCCAGACTTTTGGCCCCAAGTGCGTCATCTGTTGGGGTTTGTAAACGATTCCCAAATCCGGCGCCCGTCGAAACTTACCAACACTCTCCAAGACAGGGCCTGGCCCCGCCCTTGATCCTAGCCGTACAAACAAATTATACTAAGAATCTTCCAACACAACACATTCTCACAAGAGCTTCTGAATAGTATGTAACAACAAACAGTGCGCCACCAAAACCCGCCGAGCCCACGGCCCCTCCCACATCCGACAAGATCACCGCGCCAATTACTCTTCCCATCTCACGCACACCGAGGCTTGTTACGACGGCCACCATCTTCTTACCGACCCGCCAAAAACGTACACCCAAACCCAATGCCACCTACAAACCAGACACGTCAGCATGGTGCTGCCATATACCAACCTCCCACCCCCCCACGTTCGTACATGACTACCCCGCCCCCCCCCCCCCCCCCCCCCAAAATTTTTTAAAACTTTAAAAAAAAAATTTTTTTTTTTTCCCCTCCCCCCCCCCAAAAAAAACACCCCCCCTCTTTTAAAAAAAAACCCCCCCCCACCCCCCCCCCAAAA